TAAGTCCATGATTTGCGAACTTGAAGGAACGGATTTGGTCCCAGCAGCATCCTTAGGTTTCCTTACCAAAATTTCAGCCTCATCCTTGTCCCCACCTCCATCTTCATCCTCAGATTCAGAAGCATCCTCAGGCTGACTTGAAGGTGGAGGTGGTGGGAAGGGAAAAGGGATAGCATCGGCATTTTTCTTTATCAAGGACATCCACCCAAGGGAGAAGCCCCTGTTGCATGCCTGCCTGACCTGAAGTTTGTATTCTTCAGTAACGTCAGCCATACCTTGGGCGTATGCCTTTTCATCGGCCTCGTTAATTTCGACATCCTTGGTGGCCAGGGCCTCCTGCAGTTCCTTTTCGGCTTGGGCCTTTCTGTCCTCGGCCTCTATCTTCTCTGCTTCGGCGACCTTCCTTATGGCCTCGGCTGATTTAGCTTTTTCCTCGGCTATCTGTTGGGCCTTAGTTGCAGCCTCGGCCTGGTCTTCCAACTTCTTCATTTTTAGTTGAAGACCTTTGTTGGTCTTCTGCAATGCAGAAAACTCATTCTTCATCTCGGTCATTCTTTCCCGATTTTTAAAAGACTGCATTGAAAACGAATGGGCATGCTAGATGGCCTGAAAGAAAATAGAAGTATTGGAAAATATTTTACGTATGAAACAGAAGGAAAGTCAAAAGTTCAAAGCAGGAGCACTTACTTGAACAGAGTACTGGAGCATTAACGCGTAGTTCTCATACTCACTATACTCAACATTTCGCTCCAGGTCCCCTGGAAGGAGAAGAGCGGCGCTAAGGGCGACGCCGACATTAATGTCATCGGCGCTTTCACTAGACATGATTGGCCTGTCCTCCAAAGTAATCTTTGGGGCCCAGGGGACGTCGGGTTTTTTGGACCCCGAAGCCGTTGCAGAGGACGACCTCACTTTCTTTCACTTTGAAGATTCTGCTGGCTGTGTTTCAGCCGACCTTTTTGTAAAAGCACTCTTCACACTCCCAGCCAATTGTGAAATTGGCAGAGCATCTTCATTCTCAACTACAGTGGTTTTGGCCTTTGGCTGAGCCTTTTTGGTTCTTTTTGGCTTTGGTGGGGGCATGGATTGGGTTGGATTAGCATCAGCATCAACTGGGAGGTCGGCTAGGAGATCTTGGGTAACAGGCTGCGGGCGACCCATCTCAACAGTCTTGACAAGTCGACGCCAACGTCCTCTTTCTGGTATTGGGATTAAGTATGGGGCTGAAGTAGATAGCAGATCTGCTGGGTCAAAGGTGGATCCTTGGTCTGCTCGTGATGTGGAAGCAGTGGGAAGAGTTATGGCAGAAGGTGGAGAAAGACTCTTCTTCTTCTTTTTCGAGACGTCAGGCAAAGTGGATTTGTATGTAGGAATAAAGTTCAGAAGAAGAGGTGCTTTCCTTTTGTGAACAGGCAAGTCCAGGAGCGTTTTCAGGTCCTTGCTAAGAACGTAAGATTGGCGAAAGTCTTTCGCTGGCTTGCGAACGTCTGCAAGAAGAAACAGACATTAAAAACAGATAAACTATTGAAGTCTTGAAAAAAAACAACTAAGTAAATAACACTGGGCTCTTACCCTTGCCCTCTTTAACCATTCGAGGAAGAGGGTATAGATGGACATCTTCGTCTGGGGAAAATTTCCAATTTCCAGAGACAATGAAGTAGTCATCTCCAGCCCCCTTGTTGGAGTCTGGGAGGTCGGCTACGATTTTGAATTCAGTGGACCTTGGCTTGAGGTAGTAGACGTAACCTTTTTCCTTCAGGCTAAAGGGGCACATGGTGTAACAATACTGTATGTCGGCTAGGGTGATTCTAACGTTTTCTTGTCTGGCTAAGGCGATAATACCAAAAATCACTCGATAAGAGTTTATGGCAAGTTGCATAGGGTTCAACTTATAATAATGCAAAATCTCGCGAAAAAAAATGTTAAGTGGAAGCCGAAGTCCACACTCAGTAAAGGCTACAATAGGGAGAGGCATGGTGTTTTCGGTAGGCATGATGGAGTCATCATCCCCAGCCAGTCTCAGGTGGACATCGGCAGGAATAGAGAACTCCTGCCTAAAGTACTCAAGTTTGGTCGGGGTATTAACCCTATGTCTCCACATACCCATAACGTCGGCCTAAAGACAGAAGGGTAGGTTTCAGAAAAAAGGTGCTCTTAAGGGGTTATCGGGACCTCGGCGAAACCCTAGGTATATACTGGCAAGGATTGTTTTAGTTTTCCCTAAAAATTGAAGGTTCTATAAACAAAACCCAAACCTAAATCTATGAAGGCAAAGATTGAAAACAAAAATTAAAAGCAGAAATCTGGAAAACAAGAAACAAAGAACGACGTTTTAGAATCAAAGAACAGAGGTATGGTTCTCAGAAGCGAAAGAAATACAGAAGTAAAAGGTCAAGAACAGTGGCAAGAAAAGTGTTGAAGCAGTGCAAGTGTTCAAAATATGAGTGAAATCATGGAATAGACGCATCCAGATCAATAGTTCAGCAAATCAAAGGTTTGAACAGAGCAATAATGACAGTAAGTAAACAAAAGCACATAGAAGAAATTGGGAGTGAGAGGAACGGAGGCTTACCAGAACAAATGAAGCCGGAATGAAAGTCGCCGAGATAAGGCAACGGTTATAGACACGATGGAACGGCAAAACCCTCGCTGAAATGGAAGAATGAAGACGGTTACAGAGCTTAAAGCTAGAGTAATGGCGGATTTGAGAAAGTTTAAGAGAGAGAGAAAGCCAGAAAATCAAGTGCAAAAGTAAAGAAGTAAGGAGGGAAAGTAAAGTTTTATCAAAAACTTGAAGCGGCGGCAAAACACGGCATTTATTGCGCCTAGAGGAACGCGTGCGTCAGACGGCGCAGACGGATGAAAGACGGCTTACAAGCGCGTCACAGACATGGGAAAATAAAGATAGAACGCGTAAGGGGAACGATTGAGAAGAGATGCATGACAGCTCATGCGTGTGGGGGAATTTGTTTGAGTGCTTGTTCTCTGAAGAGAACACGTTGGCCTGAAATGAATGATCTCGGCTAAACAGTTTTTGAGCCAAATATGCAGAAAGAAAATCAATAGAGGTTCCATCACCTCAGGATACCGAGGTAATAGAACCTAGGGGGCAGATGTGGGGATATATTTTCTAAGTACCGACACGTGGCATGGTGACGCCGACGTGTCGGCCGAGGTGCCACGTGTTGTGGTAGTTATGCCGAGGTTATCTTGGCGAGGCTGAGGTTATCTCCGAAGATATCGGAATCCGAGATAAGCGGATAAGGGACAAGAGTCCTAGAGTACAGAGAAGACTTTGCTAAAGATAAGGATAAAACTCTTAGGGAGTTTATCTTTATCTCTTGAAGAGTCCAAAGTCAGTATTGAATTGGAGTCCATAGAAGTCAGGCTTCTAGTAGGACTTGGATTGAGTAAACTATAAAAGAGAGGCACCCCCGTGGGTCTAAGGTACGCAGTTTTATACTCAAGCTTGTGAGTTTATCACTTGATTATCTTTGAAAGATACACTGACTTGATTGTCGGAGTGCCCCCAGGTGGAAGAGCCACCGCCGGAGCCTTTTCTTTCTATTACAGGTTTGTTGAAGCCATCTATTCTGCCGGTGCTCTCCAGCTGATTACTAGGCAGGCAGTGTGGTCAGAAAATTACCCACACAAGTTCATTGAAATTAAATAGGAACAATACAAGTAGGAAAACTATATATTTTTTTAGGGTATTCTACAGAACCCCTATTCAAATTTCAAACAAATTCAAATTTTTAAGGCTTTACACCAGAAACAGTCAAGAGCTAATCTAAGTAAAAACAAAACAATGGAAGCTGTTTCTATGACCCAATTTTTGCAACGAACACTACGACTTCATGTAGTGATCTTTTTCTATCATTTTTTAGTTAAGATGCCGACAATGATGATATGTTCATGACAGCAAGTTGAAGACGATGACTAGCTGTAGGCAATGAAGCTTTCCACGACTCTGTGTTGTGTTTTCTTCGCCGATCTCTCGTTGAAAATCCTAGATCTGGGGTTTGCACGCTCCTCCTCCCTCGCTTTGCCTTGCCTCGTCGCCACAGTTTTACCTCAACTCACTGCTGACTCACCGCCGTTTCGCCTCATCGACTCTACTCCTTCAGCTTCGTCTCTCTTATTTCCTCTATTTTGGTTCTCATTTCCTGGTTCTGTATGTTGGGTTTAGGTTCTAATGGATGAGAGAGAGAAAGAGAAAAGGAAAGGCCAAAAAATATATATATATCTAAAACGACGTCATTTTGGATACCACTGCCGAAACCATTGTAGGATACCACGACAGAGGATCTGCACTAGAACTTCAAATCAAACCTACTCTAGCTTTAAGGCAAAATTAAGGCCATTTAGATTATAGACTCAGGTATAGGGGAATAATAGCTAGGCTAGTAGATAGGTGTGCCGGCTATGCATCACGCATCACAAGCACCCTACCCATCCTCGTGACCTCATTAGGTAGCAACGGCTAGGAACCCTTCACTGAAGTTTTGAAGACACCACTATTGAGCTACTTTTGTTTCTTAAGATGAAAATATACACAAGATTTTACAATAAACTAAAAAGCAAAAATAATACTGAGGGAGAGCGAGAGAGAGCCCACGGGCAACTACTTGGTGGCCTTATTTCTGCTTGGTATGTAAACATGCGATTGGATGTGGTAGCATGTAAGTCATGAAGTTAGGTTCTAGAGCCAGATGGAAGAACAAGCCTCACAACTCAAACCATTTTAGTAATGTGGCAATGTTATCACAATCAAGAAACAGGAAATGGCTGCATTCTTTCAAGCAAAAAGTGATTTGATAGTCTAATTGCAATTACTTGTGAAAGGGCAACCCTCGGAGCATGATACCATTATAATAACAAACTATTCACCAGTGAAAAAAAATAAAAGTAATGATTTTGTCAATCTTGAAAAACACTGTTGAACTTGCTAATACAGAAAACAAATGTACCATTTTAAATGTTTAATTGAGCTTTCTTACCTGATCCAAACAGAACATAAAACCCAGAAGCCACATGTATTTCTGACTGTTCTTCCCTGTATACATCAGAAAAATGACTCAACAATAAATTTTTATTATTTTTATTTATAACAAAGAGAAAAAGGGAATAGGAAAGCTGAATGTATTAGCCATTGCAAAGACATCAGCAGTTACAAACATTAAAAAAAGGGGAAGCACCGAATTCTTACGACAGTTCTATTTGTTGTGAATCCATTCCTTGTATAGTGTTTCAACATGCTACTCGCATACATACAATTCTAGAAAGAAATTAGATGCAGTTATGTTTAAGACCAACCTATCCATATAGGTCAGAGTGGATAAAAGATAATATGACCCCAATCCAAGAAATGTGGTTGTTGTGACTGGTTTGGCCAAATGACCAACTGCAAGGGTTCATGATCTTACCCAAACAGAATCCCACTCAGGACTGGCCCTGAGATTTAGGGGGCCCAAGGCGACACTACGGAAATGGGGCCTTCTTACATTAAAAAAATAAATAAATTCATGGATAAAACGATAAGTTACAACTTTTTTATTTGCTTGTAGCTACAAAAAAAATTTACTTTCACATATAATCATTAAAATTATAAATAAAAATTTACTTTTATATATTAAGATAGGAAGCAATCATTACAAATACTTAAAAAAAATAAAAATCTAGTCTTGTTGCTTTTTTTTGGGCCTCATGTTCAATTGGGCCTATAGTATTTGGGTTTTTTTTTTATATCTAAAACACAAAATTATATTTAGGGGTCCCTACTTTTAGCCCAAATTTAAGGACCCAAGACGCAGGCCTCTCTTGCCTGCCCTCAGGGCCGACCCTGATCCCACTCTTGAGTCTCAAGTGAAATGTAGAATATCCAATGCAAGTTTATCATACTCATCAAGGCAATGGGATTGAATGTAGCAGGACAATAAATCTTAAAGATATGCAATGCAAGTTTATCACACTCATCAAGGCAATGGAATTGAATGTAGCAGGACAATAAATCTTAAAGATCCTACCATGCAACTCCTAATAAATAATATAAACCGAAGATTCAAAAGTCTAGATTACTCATTTATATGAGGATGTATTTCAACATCTGCTCAAGACAAGATAAATCCTTTTGAGAGTACGCTTAAAGAATAAATTATTTTTGGAAGAACAAAATCAAAGTCACCACTGCATCAGAACTTTGGATGATATTCTGCAAAATTTAATCAATAAAAGTAATCTTTGAATTCCTCAACAAGTAGAACCAACATCATAATGACTGCTATTTTGCTTACAACATTTCGAATAGCATTAATCCAACCAAGAAACGAAAGGGAAGAAAAAGAAAAAGAAAAGGAGCAAAGTGAGCCTTTTATAACAAACAGGTCTCATTATAGAATGAAAAATAGATGGATAATGGCATAGAAGTTGTGGATTTAAAACAAACACGTCTCATTTTTTTTTTTCTAGTTTCAACTTCCTCAACATAGATTTTTGGACAGACAAATCATTGAGACTGCTTGAATAAGAATCAATTGTAACCTCTTACTAGGAAGTTCTTGTAGTCCATACCACAAGATGTGACTACAAGTTTCAATCTGAGCATCTATTTAAAATAACCCTTATTTCCCCAAGTTTAAGAACCAATCACATAAAGATAACAAACAAAGCATGACACAAATGGAGTTTTAAACCTTTGACAGGTAATGGATAATATATGAACAACATATAGAAATTCACGGAGGAAAAACAAATGAATACTAACATTCACTGTGTGATTTGATGTAATAGTTAGCATAATACTTCAAAATAAGAAGTCAATTATAAAAGTACTACAAACATCGGTGTGGCATATCTACAACTTTGGCAGTGACACCAAGCAAATCGCTCCCACAGTACCTCTGTATGACATACAAATAAAAAACATCTCCATAACTTTAGAGGATTAAATTCTAATAACCATTCAAAGAATCAAAAATTCATGTATTGGATGTTAAAAAAACTATAAAGAACATCTCACTATTTAATTGTACCTTTTAAAATGTTCAAAATATGAAATTCTAAACACAAGAACAAGTTTACCACTCATTGAAACCCTTACAAAATGAACATCAATCATTAGAGCCTCAGAATTCTTCCAATTTATCACAAAAAGCCATGGAATAAAAAACTTTTCTTTTCCAACTTGAAATGATCCGCATGAGAATAATTTTCAGTACATCTTGGGATATCTGTGCAACTTAAGAACACATGCGTATTGAAAGCATCACTTCAACAATTGGAATAACATCTAAAGCAAATAAAGCTTCAAGGGATACATACAATCATATACACAAGCAATAGAAACTTAAACCATTTTATTTGTATCTCTATAAATAATAAAAATTAACATCTTTGAGCCTTCAAAATAATGTATAAATAGAAACCAAAGCCAAACTATTATGTTGGGTTCAGTTAAATTATGAACCAGACCCTTGTCAATGCCCTATATCAGAGGCTCTCAACAATCAATACAAGTTGTTATAAGACGCAACATAACAACTAATGCCTGCATAAAAATGAAATTGATACATCATACATGAAACAATAGGAAATCTAATTCAAGAGGTCCACTAACAATTAGAGAAGGTTCCTTCATCGTTGTCATAAATAAAACTCAATTACTAGTTTATGTAATAAATATATTGTTGTTACATATGCTCTGCATCATTTGCTCTGAATGGGTGATTTTAGATTGTTGCCATTGCTCATCGATAAATACTCATACTAACATAGTCATGAACGTACAAAGCCACAAACAAGCAAAATGTACCCACTAGGTCAACTAAGAAGCAAAATCTACCTTTCACTATATTAGCATTTTATTTGCAACACATTAATAGCTGATGGAGACTTAGTGTGCAGCATTCATGCTATGCAAATTTTTAAATACACAATATTTCTTTTTCTCTCCTCTCCAGCTTAACAAAATAAGAGGGAGAGAAATCACAATCTTTTCTTTTCTTTTCTTATCTCTCCTAACATTGCAAATCATTTCTTTTATTTTCTCTCCTAACATAGTGTAAATTATCCATTAAATAGCTTCAAATTTGAGCAAATAGAAAGACAATTTTCTGAAGAATAAGGCAAATAGATAAAACTAAGAGCTTGAGAAGATATCTCACATTTTATACGGATCAGCGCCAGTGTAACCAGTTGGCTTTGGTATAGGAATCAAAGCCTACAAAACATTGGAATGAATGTCAAAGTAAATACAAAATCAAAACATACATCTGTGTCCAATTGTGGGTGTGATTGATTCAAGGCAAATAAAAACCCCCAAATCATATATTCAGCTTTGAGATGCTAAGATACTCAATTGCCAGAGAAGTAACCCACTTCAAATAGAAATCAAACAAAAATCAAACCAATTTTGGACAAGAAGAATAACATAATTTCATAGAAATCAAACAATTCAACCAAACCCATTTACGAAATCAACACAAAATTAAACTTAAAAAATCATATAAACCCTAGATGAAGTGTGAGAGATATGAAAATAGGGCAACGCAGGGAAAGAAAGAGAAAGAGAGAGAGAGGTGGCGCGAGAGAGTGAGAGAGTGAGAGAGAGAGAGAGAGAAAGAGATCGACAGAGAGGGAGAGGACCGAGAGCGACAAAGAGAGAGGGATAAGAACCTATGATTTGTGGCAGTGGAGGTAGCGACGTGCGACGGTGGCGACGTGTGACGATGAGGTGGTGACCGTCTCTAAGTGTGCGTCTAGTTTGGTGTACTGATCTGTGTCTGTTTGTGGGATAGAACAAAGAAGATCTGTGTGAAAGAAATAAGAGGGAAGGGCACCAATATTTCCCTCTAAAAAAAATTCCCTTCCTTTAGTGACTAAATAAATATTTGTCGGCAAGTGTAATCAATAGCTACTAAAAGTTTGTAGCTATTTGTTTAATATTGGCTACTAAAAATCTTTTGGTCGGCAATAACTACCCATCTACAACTACAATTTTTTAGTCACTGATGGTTGCAATAAATAAGTCTATTTTTGGAGACTAACAAAAATTTTGGTCGGCAAAAGGCTGTGTACGCCGACTAAAACCATAATTAGTTGCCTAAAATGTAAACAAATGCCAACTAAAACTTTTTAGTGCCTATTGGTATATTTTTAGCGACTAAATATTTTTTTAGTCGCCAACAACTAACATATGGCTACTAAAAAAATTTAGTAGCTAAAAATTAAATCATTGCCGATCAACAAGAAAATTTGTCGGTAAAGGTCTAACTTTTGGCGACTAAAAATGTTTTAGTAGCCAAAAGTGGTCGCCAAAGGTGCAGATTATTGTAGTGAATCATTGTTGAAAAATTACTTTATCAGTATATAATTTATTTTAAAACTTATATCCATGACTTTTTTTTTTATATTGTCTATGATATACTAATTATAAATAATATATATATATATATATATATCTTTCTTGAAGTCAATTTTAACAAATTATGTGAAATATTTTTATAAAAAATTTTAATATTATAATTAATGTTTGGAAACATTTACGTTTTCAGTTTATATTTACAAAAATTTTATAAACTAGTTTTTGTTTATTTTTAGAAAAACATAAATTACAAACACGTTTGGTAATTGACAAAATGTTTAAAAAAATTTAGGCGGGTGGTGATGAGTGGTGGCGGATGGTGGCAGTGGAAGACGGTGGTGGCGAGTGGGTGGCGACGGAAGACGGTAGTGGTGGGTGGTGGCGAGTGGTGGTGACGGAAGACGATGATGGCGGGTGACGGGTGATGGGTAATAGCGGCAGGTGGGTGGTGGTGGCGGCAGAAGACAGTGGTGGAAAATGGTGGCGGGTGGTGGCTAGTGTTGGGGGGTAAAAAAAAATTGAATATTCAAAATGGAAACACATTTTTTGAGTTTATATTTTTTGGCCAAATTTATAAACTGAGACCACTGATTTATAAATCAAAAATTTACCAAATAAGTCTTTATTTGAGTTTTTAAAATTTTCGTAAATATAAACAGAAAACTAAAAACATAAGTATTACCAAATGGCACCTTAAGTATTCCCTCTAATTTAATTTTTTTGACTCCACCACTAATTATAGCCCCTCCTCCTCGTTAATTGTGGAGATCGTATTCAAACGTGAACACGTAGTCCTCCATTAACACTGGCATGCGTACTAAACCAGCCCCAAGCAATTTGATATTGAGATTTGAAAGGCTTGGGCTTTATCACAGACGACTACCTTCTGTCTTGATTGATACAAATAAGAGAATGCAAGGAATATAGGTGAAAGCAAATGTACTTTGTGATGTGAGATTGCGAGATTAATTTTTATAAAAAGGAGTGTGCTACTTTTTAATTATTTCTCTCATCACGAGGGTTGTATTAAGTGATTGTTGAGTGGCTATTATTGAGCTTTGTGGTGTTGATAGGCTTGTGGATTTGCCTGGTTGGATCATAATTATCTTCATAATTGTAATTATTTTTCTATAGATTAAAAAATATATAAATAAACAATAATTCCTTGTTCTATTCAAACTTATCTCTTTGTTCTCCTAATCTAATCTCCGCAAACAAATATTACACAAAAACGTTAGGAATTGTGAAAATGTATCTTGAAATTTTCGTGAAAATGATTGGTTTGGTGTAAACTTAAAGTTTGTGGAAGATAGGTCACACTCACAAAGGGTTGTTTGAGAATAACTTAAAATAGTATATTTATTATCTTTTTTTTTTTTTTTTTGGTTTTTTTTTTGGGGATCACATAACTTTTTTGTTTTTTCACATATCTTTTTATAAAAATTCAAAAAAATTATTAAAATAGTCTATTCTCAAATAATACATTAGATAATTAGTCTAATAAAACATTGGGTAAATTATACTTTCTCCTTTTATGTTTGATTATTTTTTTACTGACTCTTATAATTTATTTATTTTTCACTTTAATTCTTCATATTTCAAGGTTTTTTTTTTATTTCAAATTTACTCCCGAAGACAACTTATGTACAAAATTATACATGAAATGATATATTGATAGCTAGTGACATAAAAATATTTTATTATATATAACTTACACGTTTAACACAAATCTAAACCCTAATATAATAACATATTCTGTATGTCATGTAACAATTGACTTGACATTTTCTGTCTAAGTTTGAACATAAGTTACTTTCATAAATAAATTGAAAAAAATTTCAAACATAATGTCCAAATGGGAGGAAAAAAATTAAAGGGTCAAAGTGAGAAAATGATCCTGGATAAAAAGAACAAAGTGTAATTTACCTTAAAACATTTGACAACACAAGTTTTGGAATTAGGATCCTCTCTTTCATCTTACTCTTTAACTCCTTACTTGCTGGACCATTGGCCCCACTTTTGGGCCCAATTTCGATGATTTGAACCGTTCACATTTTAAGATTTGTTGAGTATATCATACCTGTAAAAAATCAAATTGATCAGATATCAGAAACTACGTGTTCGGATCATCAAACTACAAACCATATTTAAAAAATAATAATAAACAATTTTCTAAACACATGCTTTCTGATATCCGATGAACTTAATTTTTTACGAGTATGATATACTCAACAAATCTTAAAATGTGAACGGTTCAGATCATCAAAATTGGGCCTAAAAGTGAGGCCAATGGTCCAGCAAGTAGAGAAGTTGTTCAAGAGAGCACAAGGGGTTAACTCCAATGGATACACTAATTCTGCAATTACATTGCCGGATTGGTTTAAGATGCCACACATTGATCGTTTTGAAGGCTCCAAGGATCCGATGGTCCACTTATGATAGTTTTCTGATATCTTGCAGCCAATGGGCTTAACTAGACCATAGAAGCTATCTCTCTCTGGTCACACCATGTCGGGTATAGCGGCCAGTTGGTATGCTAAGTTGGAAAATTTCGTCAAACAGAATTGGGAAGAGATAGGCGAAGCCTTCATTGCTCAGTACTCTTACAATACACAATTTGAGGTCACAACTCGTGATCTCGAGGCAACCCGTCAAAAGCCAAATGAGGGTTTCTCTGAGTTTGTGACAAGATGGAGGACCAAAGCCTCAATGATGACCACGAGACCTTCCGAGAGATAAGAATGGTTGTTCGGAATCTGCATGGCAAGTTGCTGTAGAAGATAATTGTTCTACCTCTATTTACCTTTACAGAGCTTCATGAAATGAGGGTTCAAATCGAGGATGCCATTAGGCAAGGGATCATTGTGGAAGATAATGAGCCATTGAAAAAGAATGTTGTTCACAGTTCCAATGCTACTACCAGTGATAGCACAGTTGCGAAATGCTCAGAGGTAAACACTGTCACCAGTCTCATAACCACTTCAACTCAGCCTCAAGCTTGAAATTTTCATCCTCTTTACATGAGTCTCTCTCAAGCCTTGAAGACGCTGCTAGAAAAAGGGCACCCAGAGCTCCTAGAACCCCAACCCCTTCCAAATCCTCTTCCACTAAGACATGACCCTGCTAAATACTGTGTCTATCATCAACAACACGGTCATTATACAAACTGCTACATCTGCCTCCGTCATAAGATTTAGGATCTTATTGATAAAGAGATCATAGCTCCACCAAAAAGGCCTCAGAACACATTACCTCCACACCTCAACCTAATTCATACATTGCCATCCACCTACAACCCCAACATATACATCACCCCAGCCCATTTATCCAAGCCTGAGGTGTTCATTCCAGAAAGCACCGACTTGTGTATGATAGATGCACTTGAATCTCAATCATCTCAAATCCATGAACCTATTACTTCTGAGCTGATGAGCATGATTGAAGATTTGTAGAGAACAGTGGCATATATAGCCTTTGAGATTTTGGCTCCCTCATCGACCACATCACGTGCCAGAAATTTCATGCCGAAAGGCTCCCCAATCTTGGGGCAAGCTGTAATTGAAAATGGCCAACCTAAAGCTATCTCGGGTCTGGGGATCACATGGCAATAACAAATGGGCCACGCTCCGATATAGTCACCCAATTCCTTGGCAAAGCTGAAGCAAGTGGCAAGAACAAGGTCGAGACAAGCATTGCTCCCTATGAACATCTTCAGTGGGCTATTGAGGCTTTGAAGGTCAAAGGGCTAAACAAACAACAAGTGCTTACAGTTGTTGCAAAAACTGTGGATGACACTTTTGTCGCTTAGGTTGGGAGCATTCTGAATCAAGGGGCAAGCCAAGAAAAGGGCTATCGTACCAGAAACACCCATTTAAGCTCCAATCCTACACTCGTAAGGGATCTTCAAATCCAATCAACACCTGCCAAACCCTTCGTCAATCCTGTCAGGATTGGTAACCGCACCTTCAATCCCCTTTTCATGACCTTATCCAAAGCTCTCCAAATCCTCATAAGACAACGCCATCTTAAACCCCTTGACCCTCGACCTCTCCCTGATCAACAAACCGGCCATGACATTGACAGTTGTTTTCGTCTTCACCATGAAGTTCAAGATCTGATTGACAATAAGGTTATCACTTCACCAGGTCACACAAAGTCTATCAGTGCTGGATCAATGAACTTGGGGGATAATGTGACTATGTGATCGGG